ACATCTGTATAATAGAGATGATCACATCTTAACACACATTATAAAAAAATTATAGGTTAGCATATTAAAGCCATGCTGTTTCAAAATATTTTTAAGCCAACACCATGCTCATAAGGCAAAAACTGAGCAGGAAAAGCATAACTTACTGAAGTTTTATCAACTCTAAGGGGAAGAAAGGTTGTTGCACTTACTTATGTTCATTGGTTGTTTCTTGTACATGCCCTTGATCCCGTGACCAGGAATCAACCACAACCCTGGCACTTCAGGATGATGCTCTAACCAACAAAACTACCTGGCCAGGGACTAAAGTACATACTTTTTAAAGCATGTACTTGTTTTTTAAATACACTTTAAAATTTGTCTACTACCCAAGAGATCAAAATTAACTAGAAAGAGATAGATCAACTGTTTAAAGGCTAATTCAATAAACTACAATAGTAAATTTGGACATTAAATAACTGCCAACCCAACTTGTGGGAAGGAATATGTTACATAAAAAAAGAACATTTATTCTTTTGATTATGAAAGTGATGGAAACTATTAGTCTTGAACCATTATTCACTTACTATCAAACTGGACTTTACTAATAGTCACTGAGCAAAAAAAATTGTGGTTTTGTGCATACTGAGTACTATATAAATATTTTTCCCCCTCTCTTCCCCCCCTCTTGTCCTGTACTAACTTTGGATACTGACTGATTCAAAGAAATCTCCCAACACTGGCTAATACCCTACAATGGCCTGTTTAAATACATTTAAATATAGGTGTTATGATATAAAAATTGTATCTCCGTAAATTAGTTTATATGTGGGGGAGGGTGGATGATTTTTTTTTTTAAGTCTAACTGGGTTTATAAAGAGTCAATCTGAGTTCTTTACCTATCACTTTACATCTTTTCTTAAAAGTAAACAATCTTGAATTAGGGATCTTTATGCAAGCCCGTGTCATCCCTATATGAGATTTTACTTGGTTTTGCTCCTATGAACCCAGTTTCTCATAAACTATTCAATAGTCCCCAATGGACTTTGTTTCAGGACTACCCACTAGTTAAGTCCTTCCAGTTTTCATAACAGAAAGCTATCTACCTCCACCTCTAATATTAAGAAGTTTGTCATCTTTGAGAAAGGAAGGTGGCAACAAGGCAGATAACCACCTACTACCCACTATGACTCCCTAAAGAACCCCAGTTCCAGAATAAGAGAACTACTGGGCTGGCCAAAAAGTTCATTCGGTTTCCCTGCAAGTTACTCTACTAGTGCTTAGTTGTCTTTAACTTCATTGAAAACAGTTTTGTTAGATTATATTGGGACAGCTATCATGTCAATGTACATTTAAAAACATCAAAATTGGTGAATTTTTGTACAGCCATTTTGATACTGAAGATAGAAGAAAATAACACATTTTCAGCATATTATGCTTTATTATTTCAAGAAAGGAAAAACAACTGAAACACACACAAAAAAGGATTTGTGTAGTGCATGGAGAAGGTACTGTGACTGCTCAAACATGTCAAATGTGGTTTGCAAAGTTTCATGCTGTAGATTTCTCATTGGACACTGCTCCAAGGTCAAGTAGACAGACCAGTTGAGGTTGACAGCAAACGAATCGAGACATTAATTGAGAACAACCTCAACAACCATGAGGAAGATAGCCAACATACTCAAAATACCCAAATCAATAAAATTATTGGTGAAAATGAAAAATGTGTCTTTTACTTTATGGAAAAAGCTAAACAGACTTTTTGGCCAATCCAATAGTTCGAACTTGAGCAAATAATCTGGTCCCCTCTGTAATCTGTAAAATGGAAATCACAACAATCCTCAATGGATTTTTACTGACAAATTAAAGGAAAATCCATGTAAATTACTAGCAAAATGCCTACCATACAGTCAAACACTCACAATAAATGTTATCAATCTATTATCTGTTCCATTATGGCCAACTCACAGAGAGAAAAACACTCCAGAATTAGGTAATTCTAACAATGTAGGTAAATACCATAAAAACTTATTTTACCAAAAATAAAGTGGTAGCAGGCCTAGCTACAGCCCTCAATATTTGAGAGACAAAGTAAGGTCCAACACTTCTGAGCAAACTATTCTTGTCACAAAGAAAACTGCAATGTGAAATTACATGTTGCAGCACTGAAATCTTTAAAAAACTAAAAAATAAAAACCTAGATATGGCCCTAACCAGTATAGCTCAGCTGGTGGGGTGTCATTACACAAAGCAAAAGGTCACCAATTCAATTCCCAGTCAGGGCAAATGCCTGGGTTGCAGGCCAGGTCCCTGGTGGGGGGTGTGGGAGAGGCAACTACATATTGATGTTTCTCTACCTCTCTTCCTCTTTCCCTTCCCCTCTCTCTAAACATAAATTTTTTTAAAATATTTTTTAAATAAAAGAATTTCAATTACACTAATTCTAAACCCACCAATACATAAACTCATTAAAAAAATTAAAAGGAAGACATAAAAGTACCTTCTGGTGTGATACAATATATTGTACAATACTCAACAAATACCATCTACGCTTACCTAAAAAACTGAGGATAAATCACAGTAAATGAGGGCTAGAAAAATAAGCTAAATGACACCACAAGAAACAAAAACACAAATGTACAATGTAAAACAAGACATCCTGTAGAACAAACGACATGGTTCTGACAACAAATCAATGTAAACAGAAAAAAGTGGAAGTACAAAGACGGGGAAGAATTACTCTAAAGAGAATCAAAATATGTAATGTACACATCTTGTCTGGATCCTGATTCAAAGAAATTAATTATGAAAAGACATTTTATAAATAATCAGGGAAATTTACGTATGGTTTGAGTATTGGATAACAAAAATTTACTATGACTTTTTTTTAGATGTGAAAATAGAATTATGGTTACATATGAAACTGTCTACAATTTTCATAGTAATTAGGGGTAAGTGACCCCAAAATATATATTTGATACTTTCAAATATTTCTGCAGAGAAAATAAGAAAGAAATGACAATGACAAAGTAAATATGGCTAAAATCCTTAAGCACTGTTGAATAAGAGTGAGGGGACACAGGGATCACTTAACTACTCCATTTTTGTCTGTAAAAATTGGGCATAATAAAAAAAGGCAAGAAAGCAGAATTATAATTAAAATATATTTGATAATTCTAATCTTATTTTGACTGCACTTGGCAAATTAGTACAAGGGAAACAGATTGGTTGCTTCCCGCATGCCTCCAAATGAGGACCTGGCTCACAACCCAGGCGTACATATGCCTGGATAGGGAATCAAACCAGTGACCTTTAGGTTCTCAGGCCGGCGCTCAATTCACTGAGACACTTCAGTCCGGGCTAGTTTTGTCCGGAATCATTTGCCTTTGGCCCACAGAGTGGAAGTTTAGTAAAGTACTGTAGGATGAGTGAACAGCAACAGGAACTGACAGCACGGTACTACCTGAATAAATGCTACACTTAATATTTCTGAAAAAGTCTGCCACTATAAAATGCTCATTTGGAGAAGAGTCACAACCACATTGGATAATGAATAAAATATGTCAATTCAGGTAGCTCATTCACTGAATGAAAACAGGGTCTGTACATTATTGTATCATATGCTTGTAATCTGGAGAAAATTCGGTCACAACTTTAAGATATATGAAACTAAGATATACAAAACTATACTGCTTTTTTTTTTAACAAACAGTAAGACTTTATTCATTTATTTTTGGAAAGAAAGGAAGGATGGGAAAAGAGAGGGGAATAAACACTGATGTGAGAGAGAAACATCAATCAGTTGCCTCTCATACACCCCCCAGCCAAGGATTAAACCTATAACCCAAGTGTGTGCCCCAAACAGGAACAGAACTGGCAACTTTTCTTTCACTCAGCAAGACAACACCCAACCAACTTAGCCACCCTGGGCAGGGCTGAAACTACATTCTTTTTTTAAAAAATATTTTATTTATTTATCTTTAGACGGGACGGGAAGGAGAGAGGAAGAGAAATATCAATGTATGATTGCCTCTTGTGTGTCCCCTGCTGGGAACTGGCCTGCAACCCAGGCATGTGCCCTGACTGGGAATCGAGCCGCAATACTCTAGTTCGCAGGCCCGCACTCAGTCCACTGAGCCACCCTGGGAAGGGCTGAAACTACATTCTTAGAGTGGCTTAGTGACATCTCAAATTATAAATGTTAAGAAATGATCACTAACAGGAAATGGTTAAGGAGAAGGGATAATCAATGGGAAAGTAACTTTAATTTAAAACCAGTGGGTAAAACACATTTTTTCCACAAAATTTTTAAAAAACTGATTTGGGGGGGAGGGGAGAGAGAAAGAGAAAAATGTCCATTTGTTGTTCTACTTATTTATACATTCATTGGTTGATTCTTCTAAGTGCCTGCCTGGGGACTGAACCCAGAAAAATGGCATATCAGGATGACACTCCAGGCAACTGAGCTACCTGGCCAGTGCTAAAATATATTTCTTTTCTTTTTTAAAGATTTTATTTATTTATTTTTTGACAAAGGGGAAGGGTGGGAGAAAGTGAAGGAGAGAAACATCAACATGTGAGAGAAACACCTATCCTTGCCTCTCATATATGCTCCACTCAGGATTCCAGGCTACAACCCAGGAATGTACCCTCACCAGGAATTGAACTGGTGATGTTTGGCTTTGCAGGATGACACCTGACCAACTGAGCCATACCAGTCGGGGCTAAAATACATTTCTTAAAGTCCAACATAAAGGAACTAATAATAACATTTGGTCAGAACTTTAAATTTTAAATCATTCATATAAAGGGTCTTCATAGCTCATTTGAAAATAACCAAAAGTTTCCTCAAAACTGCATAATCCCAACACTTCATTAATGTACACATCAGCAAACAAATCAAAAGATTTCAGAAGACGCGCCGTTCTTTTAAAACACTGCCATGTCTCAGTGTCTTGCACAGCAAACAGCCTGCCACCTTTTTCTGATCACAAGCATCTCCTTCCCCCTTATTGTCTTACCTCTGCCACGGGCTCGCTTGCCACGGTCTGAAGGCTTGTCTCCTTGACTGCAATCAATTCCATTCTCTTCACCTCTAACTAAGAAAGTAAAAAGCACCTCTTATACATAACCATACCAGACAGCTATTAAAGGCAAGAACAAAAAGTCTTTTTTTAGAAGGCTAAAATTGAACCAAAAGGTTCAATAAGAGGAAAAAGCAAAACCAAACAAAAGTGGCTCAAAAACTGAGTGGCAGCACATTTCCTTATTAATTCACAGGTGAAAATTCTAAAAGTAAATTTAAATGACATACCATTTTCTTTTTTCTCTTTGGACTTGCCCTCCCCTAAAGTAAGATTCCCTTCAAAAAGCCACTTTTGTTGTTCAACTGTGTAATACACAACACATTTCCTCACTGGTTAGGTGTAAGGTCTGCAAAGGCATACATAACAAAATGACACCACCAAGGAAATATTAAATTATTGAAGAAATTAATGTTAGAGACAGGTTTTTACTGGGTACTGTCCAGAAGATGCCAACATAGTCTTTTCTCCTCATATATGTAGCAGCATTAATGATTCTATACAATACAGAAATTTTATAAGGGACACTGGCACAGCTTGTCTCTTTCAGGGACTAACTAACTCCTGTGAGTTGTCAGTGAGGCCTTTCTAGGTAATTATTCCACTTAACATTGCCACACCCCCTCTCTGTACTCCCCATCTCTCTGCTTTTGTTTTTCCCCACAGCATAATTTCTACAAAACACCATTAAAATATATTAATACAAAATGTTACTTTTCTTTATTTTTAATATATTTTATTGAATATGCCATTATAGTTGTTCTATTCTGCCCTTCATTCCCCTCCACCCTGCACACCCCTCCTCCACCCATGGCCCCCCCTTTAGTTTATGACCATGTGTCTCAAGTTCTTTAGATTCTATATTTCCCATACTATTCTTGCCCTCTCCCCTATCTATTTTCTCCCCACCATCTATGCTGCTTATTTTCTGTACCTTCTCCCCCTTCTCCTTCTCCCACTCCCCTGTTGATAACCCTCCATGAGATCTTCATTTCTATGGTTCACTCTTGATCTACCAGTCCTCTTAGTTTGCTTTTGTTTTAGGTGTGGTTGTTAATAACTGTGAATTTGCTGTCCTTTCACTATTCATATTTTTTATCTTCTTTTTCTTAGGTAAGTCCCTTTAACATTTCATATAATAAGGGCTTGGTGATGATGAACTCCTTGAATTTGACCTTATCTGAGAAGCACTTTATCTGTCCTTCCATTCTAAATGAAGGCTTTGCTGGATAGAGCAATCTTGGATGTAGATCTTTGGATTTCATGACTTAGAATACTTCTTTCCAGCCCCTTCTTGCCTGTAAGGTCTCTTTTGAGAAATCCGCTCACAGTCTGATGGGAACTCTTTTGTAGGTGACTGCCCCCTTATCTCTTGCTGCTTCTAGGATTCTCTCTTTCATTTTAATCTTGGCTAATATAATGATGATGTGCCTTGGTGTGTTCCTTCTTGGGTCCAACTTCTTTGGGACTCTGAGCTTCCTGGATTTCCTGGAAGTCTATTTCCTTTGCCAGATTGGGAAAATTCTCCTTTATTATTTGTTCAAATAAGTTTTCCACTCGTGGCTGTTCCTCTTCCCTTTCTGATACCCCTATAATTCGGATGTTGGAACATTTAAAGGTGTCCTGGAGGTTCCTAAGCCTCTCCTCATTTTTTTGAATTCTTGTTTCTTCATCCTTTTCTGTTTGGTCATTTTTTCCCTCTTTCTGGTCCACTCCTTTGATTTGAGTCTCAGTTTCCTTTCCATTACTATTGGTTGCCTGTGCATTTCCATTCATTTCAATTAGTTTCGCCTTCATATGTTCCTCTAATTTGTGACTATAATCAACCAGCTCTGTGAGCATCCTGATGACCAGTGTTTTGAACTGTGCATCTGAAAGTTTGGCTATTTCTTCATCACTTAGATTTATTGGCTCTGGAGCTCTGAGTTGTTCTTAAGCCATGTTTTGATCTGTTCATGCCTGTTATTTACAAGGAGGTGTTCACCAGGGCGGGGCCACCCAGGTCACTGGTTTGTGACACTGTATGTGAGGGCGGGGTCAGAGAGGGAAAATGGTGGTCCCCTTTGCCACTTTCCGACACTGGGGCCTGCACGGTCTGTCTCACTGCTTTGCTCCTTCACCAGTTTATCTACACTCGAATGTGTGACTGTCGTCAGCCCTCAGTGAGTCCACCACCTTGTGCCCTCAGTGGGTCCACACGGTACTCCACACCTGAGATCCGCCTACAGCTGCTGGCACCTCTGGGTTGTGCGCCCTGGTCAGTCCAGTGGATGTTTCCTGCCCAACCCCGTTCTGCTGCTGGCTCTGCCCCTCTTACAGGTTTGGGCGTGCTTTTGTTGCTAAAACTTTGTTGTTCTAAAACTTTGTTGTTTTTAAACTTGGTTGTGCAAGAAGGCGCAGTGCTTCCACCTACGCCTCCATCTTGGCGGAAGTGCCAAAATGTTACTTTTCGATCTTATTGTTACATCTCATTCTACCTCCATTAAAAGGTAAGTTTTAAGGGGACAAAGATTTCTATATTATTCATTGCTGTATGCCTGTAAGAGTACTGATTACATACTAGGTACACAATAAATATCTGTGGAATAACCTAGAAAGTCTCCAAGGTGACATGTTAAATATTTACATTTTATTTATTCACAATTTAGATACTTTGGTATGTCTATACAGCAGGTTGTTGCTTTCAGTTAATGATGCCAAAACCTGAGTTGAATGTTAAGCACAAAGAAAACCTTCCCTATTCAACAACTTTCCACTTAATTTAACCTTTGCCCATACCATGAGTATCCACAAGTGGGAAAGAATACACAGCTTCATCTATCAGTCAGTGAAAATCCTCTTTTAAAATTGGAGGATGCGCTTTAGTCACAACAGCAGGCAGTCTTAATACACATGACTACCTACCTACAGCCCAGGTTAGCACTGATATGAAACTGCATCAGTTACTAAGTTAACTGAGTTCATTAGAATCCAAGTGTCAAGTGTAATAACAAATGATACATTGAGGAAGTGCACTTGTGGGCATTTGTTGACCTACTCTTTCAGAGTTTCAACGTGTACAAAAATTTTCGTCATAAAGAGTTGAGGAGGAAGGTCCATACTTACATTCTCTCCCACGGCTGCCACCTCTTCCTTTGCGGTTGCTGTTTCCACGCCCACGACTCACTTCTCTTTCACTCCTCTTCTCTCTATTCTCTTTGTTTTCTGAACTTTCTTTTCCAAAATTCTTCTTCTTCCCCCCTACAGTCTCCCATGAAGTCTACCAAAGATAAGAGTTGGTATTCAGAGTTGCTACTCAAAGTGTGTACAATGATGAAGAGTGTGTGCAGTTATATCTTCCAAACCTAATTACTCATGTCTTGCAGCTTGCTTGCCTACCATTTTAATTCTTTTCACATATTTCTACTTTCCGATGATAAATAAGGCAAACCTCTTGCTAAGTTTCTTTGCTATACAGAGCACAAAAGATGACAGTGACTAGTTGAGTTGACAATATAAGTACATGTTGTCCTACCAGAAAGACTTTTCCTATGATGATGAGAATAAAGTAAATGTGATTTCCCCAAGTTCCCACTCTATGCCACTCAGTAGTAGGATTTAAACCTATTAAAAACATAGATGCTTAAAGATTATAAAGTCACACAGTATGATGCCCTAAAATCTCAGACATACAACTTTCCCTATTCAGTTATCCAAAGTGACCATCAAAAAATTTTAACAGTAAGTAAATAAAATTTGGGGTTAAAGTTAAGTACCCAAAATTGAAAACTCAAAAACCTGTTCTAATGAAGTCAAATTATTTCTATAACCTCTTCTTCCCCACTTCTCTGGAATAGTGATACCAAACCAAATCATACCAAATACAGGTTGGAGAAACAAAAGTAGATTTACAGTTGTGAAAATACAAAACAGAGTTTATTCTTGTAGTATTATTTATTAATTATTATATTATCATCCATATGAACTGTAAACCCACTTTAAAAATTGCTAAGAAAAAAATGAGACACTATGTTCTTATCAATGTAACTGTATTCTTGTGAATGTAAGTATTAAGATTTCAATCACAGTGTGTTACTGAGCAATTGCAAAACCAGACAATTTGCTTCCATTTACTTTCCCATAATCTAACTTACACAACTATTTTAGGCATTAAAAAAACCTGAAGAAAATTACTAACAATGTATATCCAAATAAACATAAGCACTAGAAATTTAACTAAAATTAGAAATATAGTGGAATTCTTTCTATAACAATGGGAGCTAGATTTAAAATATTTTTAAATGAAAAATTTTTGATATCTATAACCCTATGATGAACTCATATATTTAGTTACATATAAAATAATGGGATGTTAAGATATACAAATCAAAACAAATTAATTTCCACACCTATAAAGTTTGATAAAGATTTAAAAAATCAACACCCAATAGTTAGAGCAGAATAATCAGGTATTTTAGTCCTAGTTAAATATGCATCTTTTCAAACCTTCTTGGAAGTCTACCTCCCAATGGTATCCAAATTTCAATTAGTTCTCAGCCTTTGACCCAGAAATTCTATGTCTAAGCCTTTATTCAGAGGAAATAATCTGATAATTGTGTACAGACAATAATGAGCAGAATGAAAGAAGGGAGGGGACAGGAATTCCCCAAATATCTTGCTAAGAAACTATCTACTCTAGAATATCCATATAGGAAATTGTACATAGCCATTTTAGAGTTATCCAGGTGTACAAAGAAAGAGATCCATGATGTAAGTGATGCAAGCTTTCAGCAAATAATATATAAAATAGAATTACATTTTTTAGTTCAAATAAAAGCCTGTGTACATATTAAAGAAAGTTAGAAGTAGTTATTTTAGTAAGTATGTTTAATTGGATTTAACCTTTTATCTCTCTGCATTGTTTTAATTTTAAAAAAAGCAATAAAGTTTATTTATTCCAGCAAAAAATTCCAGTATATAAACTCAATTATGTTCACTAATATAAATAAACAAGACAACTATGTAGGATAGAATCTTGTTGTCTTAGGATAACAAAGAGGTCCTAGAGTATTAAAACACAGTAGAGTTGGCAAAAGGTACATATATGTACAATTTAAAATATCTATACACTGCCAGACTCAATCATTATAAAGGGACAGACTTTCTACGTAAAACATCTGAAAGAGAAAAGCATCATACTCCATTTCATTCAGCAAAGGATACCCTGAAGCAAATCTTGGTTTCTGGATTCTGCATAACCTAACAAGAACTTTGTAGGGAAAGTAGGAAAGGAACCTTTATAGGGCAACTGGTTTTACACCACAGTAAATGCTAAAATATTGCACATTTGTACAAGCATGCGCACAGGCTTTCAAAGTGAAACAATTACAGATTTTCAACAGAACTGTCAATCTTTGTCATCTGCACTAGGCTACTTGTACAATAGGAGGACAGAAGAAACTCTAATAGCAATGGTTCTCCCAAACAACACATTTAGTAATTAGAAAAACAGCTTTCCAGGCCAGATCATTCAAAATCATTTTCCTGCCCCTTCATAATTGCCAGAAACGACATGTGTTGTTTGTATTAAATTAACAACAACAAAAAAATACATTAATGCAAGGGACTGACACTTCAGAAGTATTTTGTCACTCAAACAAGTAGCACTGTGATGAAACAGAAACTTTAGTACTTATGATCATATTCAATGTTTTCCTTTGTGACAGCAACTACACATGAGAAAGACAAACTCATCTTTAAAAATATCATAGAATTCCACTTGATGTTTATGTTGCAAAGTAATAATTATGTTCCAGAAGACCTTGGCACAAAGTAAAAGCCAACAGGACAAGATTTGCTGCTGGTTGCCATGTTGTAGACAACCAACCAAGTAACAGATATGCAAGTAATACGAAAGAAAAGCTGTACCACAGAATAATCGTAAACAAAACAGGGTCTCTCAAAGACTTTCCTTATGCTACTGCATTTCCCCCAAATCCTCTTAACTCCAATCAAGCATACATTTTATGTGCCTAGATTTAAGCACTAATTTACTATTTTTTAATCTTTGAAGAAAACAAGCCTCATCTGGCTACCACTGTGTGATTTCTAGGTTCAAGAGTTAAGAAGAGTCCTGGCTGATGTGACTCACTGGACTGAGCACCAGCCTGCAAACAAGGGGTTGCCAGTTCAATTCCCAGTCTGAGCATATGCCTGGGTTGCAGGCCAGGTCCCCAACTGGGGGCAAATGAAAGACAAGAGATTGATGTATCTCTCACACTTAAGTTTCTAACACTTTCTCCCTCCCATCCCCTCTCTCCAAAAGTAAATAAATATTTTTTTTAAAAAACTAACAAAAGAAATGTTATTCATTTAACATTTAGCCAGAGCCACTTTCTTTGGGTTCAGTCCCAATGAGAAGTTAAAACTCAATAAATCACAAAGAGAGAACTCGGCTTTTGAGACTTAAAACTTCACCTGACTACCACATGAAGAATGAAATCTGCTGGAGGTAAAGGAAACAGAAAGGAGTATCCCATCCTGCCTTGACCAGAAAAAGAGAAACTATGCCCCCCAATTAATAATTTAGAAATTGGGACTTCTGGCCAAGATGGAGGCATAGGTGGAAACACTGTGCCTCCTCACACAACCAAATTTAAAGACAACGAAGTTTCAGTATCAAAAACGCAATCAAAACACAGAAAACTGAACTGTATGCAAGTCTGACAACAACGGACCATTCATATCCAGACTGGTAAGAGGAGCGGAATCAGCAGCTGGCAGAGTAGGGTCGTGCAGGAAAAAGTGACCGAATCAGGAATGCAGGAGGCAGTTGGCAGATCCCAGGTGTGGGGTGGCAACGGGCGGACCCAGTGGGGGCGCAAGGTGGCTGGCTGACCATAGTCACACATCCACACACAGGTAAACCAGGCAAAAAAACAAGCAGTGAGACAGACTGCATAAACCAGGGCCCCAGCACCGGGAACTAAAGCCTAAAAGCACCAATCGGAAAAACTTTCGGGGTTCCAGGTGCCAGGAGAGGCTCCCAGGCTCCCAGAGAGTTTGTTAGAGAGACCCACAGGATCCTGGAGGGTGCACAAGCCCACACACCTAGGAACCAGCACCAGAAGGGCTCAATTTGCTTTCGGGGAAGCAGAAGAGGGGACCAAAATTCGAGAGAGGAACAACCACCACTGCCCCTCTCTGACTCCGCCTCCACATACAGCATCACAATCCAGCAACTGGGTCACCCCACCCTGGTGAACACCTAAGGCTCCACCCCTCATACATAACAGGCATGAACAGACCAAAACATTATGGCTCAAGAACAGCTCAAAGCCCCAGAGCCAATATTTCTAAGTGACCAAGAGACAGCCAACCTATCAGATGCACAGTTCAAAACACTGGTGATCAGGATGCTCACAGAACTGGTTGATTTTAGTCACAAATTAGAGGAACATAAGAAGGCTAAACTAATTGAAATGAAGAGAAATGAAAAGAAGGCAACCAATAGTGATGTAAAGGAAACTGGGACTCAAATCAAGAGAGTGGACCAGAAGGAAGAAAAAACGACCAAACACAAAAGAATGAAGAAACAAGAATTTAAAAAAAAGAGGAGAGGCTTAGGAACCTCCAGGACATCTTTAAACGTTCCAACATTCGAATTATAGGGGTACCAGAAGGGGAAGAGGAACAGCAACAAGTGGAAAACTTATTTGAACTAATAATACAGGAGAACTCCTCAATCTGGCAAAGGAAATAGACTTCCAGGAAATCCAGGAAGCTCAGAGAGTCCCAAAGAAGTTGGACCCAAGAAGGAACACACCAAGGCACATCATCATTATATTAGCCAAGATTAAAATGAAAGAGAGAATCCTAGAAGCAGCAAGAGATAAGGGGACAGTCACCTACAAAGGAGTTCCCATCAGATTGTCAGCGGATTTCTCAAAGGAGACCTTACAGGCAAGAAGGGGCTGGAAAGAAGTATTCTAAGTCATGAAATCCAAAGACCTACATCCAAGATTGCTCTATCCAGCAAAGCCTTCATTTAGAATGGAAGGACAGATAAAGTGCTTCTCAGATAAGGTCAAATTCAAGGAGTTCATCATCACCAAGCCCTTATTATATGAAATGTTAAAGGGACTTACCTAAGAAAAAGAAGATAAAAAATATGAATAGTGAAAGGACAGCAAATTTACAGTTATTAACAACCACACCTAAAACAAAAGCAAACTAAGAGGACAGGTAGATCAAGAGTGAACCATAGAAATGAAGATCCCATGGAGGGTTAGCAACAGGGGAGTGGGAGAAGGAGAAGGGGAAGAAGGTACAGAAAATAAGCAGCATAGATGGTGGGGAGAAAATAGATAGGAGGGAGGGCAAGAATAGTATGGGAAATATAGAATCTAAAAAACTTATGACACATGGTCATAAACTAAAGGGGGGGGCCATGGTGGGGGAGGGGTGTGCAGGGTGGAGGGGACTGAAGAGGGGGAAATGGGACAACTGTAATGGCATAATCAATAAAATATATTTTAGGCCCTGGCTGGTGTAGCTCAGTGGATTGAGCGAAGGCCTGCGAACCAGACAATCGCGGTTCAATTCCCAGTCAGGGCACATGCCTGGGTTGCAGGCCAGTTCCCAGCAGGGGACGCATGAAAGGCAACCATACACTGATGTTTCTCTCCCTCTCTCCTTCCCTTCCCCTCTAAAGATAAATAAAGAAAATCTTTTTAAAATATATATATTTTTTTGAAAAATAATTTGGAAATATTTCATTTGTCCGTGTTTTTTTTAATAAAGAGGGAAATTAAGCCCTTCAGTTCATTTTGAAAATAACAACAGAGCCATTCTACACCAAATTCATTAGTAATGAGGCAAACACATTCCCCATATTTTATAAAACCCAGTAAATACAAGACTCTCAGCTAACAAAAGCTATTCAAAATTTTATTCCATCACTTCACATGATATATTTTCCCAACAAACAGACATATTTGGTAGTTTATCAAGTGGACCAGTATTATCTGGCATGGAATTTTACCTACAGATACTACAAATATTTTCCCAAGTATCTAATTATTTAATAAGAAAATTTGTTCTCCTTGTTTTGAATTGAATAAAAATGTACTCAGTCTACATTTGAACTTATCATGGCAGTTCATTTTTATACAGCCTGACTCTAGTACAATTTTAACCCTAAAAGAACCTGATTAAGCCTGAACACCAACAAGGAAGGCACTGCTTTTTGTGGTCATCTCTATACCCTTTTTTAGTTAAATCATTATTTGTTTTAATCCTCAATTTAAAAATACAAATGAAATACTCTGCAATCTCCATGTAGAAATCAAAAGATTAGGGCTGACAACCGCCTCGTGTGTCTTTAGCTGCATCCTTACTAAATTAAGAGATGAGATCTAGTGTGCCTACACATTTCTTCAAACTTTACTAAGCTAAAAACAAAACAAACAAAAAAAACTTTCCCCCTTTTATATATGTCAAACTGTCGTGAAAATGTGTCTCTAGAATATTCACACATAAGCAAATAGATAATACCAGCAAATCCTGGTTTTCTGTTTGTTAGTCTAGAGATATACAGAGTAGTTAGAGGTGACAACTGAGATGAAGAAACATGAGCAGTGGAGCCAAGAGAAGTTTTTTTCAGGTGGTGAAAATGTCCACAGGCCCAGAGAATTTTGGAAACGGTGTAAGGCTGGAGTAGATGACCAAGTTCTCTTTTGAATTTTCAGATTCTATGACTTCATGAAAAAACCATATATAACAAAAACAGTCATTTTAGGTTAGTGTTCTTTCTGGATCTTAAAACAAATATGGAATGGCACCCATGATCCCCTACCCCCATCCCCATGTAACGTGAAATTTAAAATGCAATATGGAACTAGAAACGAATCTTAGCACTGCAAATTAATATTACTTACTTACTTACTTAAGTAATATTACTTAATAGTCTTACCGTGTCTGAATTCCCTTCCAGCAATGTATTGATAGCCTTGTTCACGTCTCCGTTACAGTCATGTAGGGCCACTATACACTCATCCTGATTTTTTCCTGTCACTTCCATAAGCTGTTAAAAGTATTAAAAAATGGTTAGAAAGACCTCCAAAACAACACTTGATTATTAATTTTAAGATTCTTCTACACAAAGACAGAAGTTATTTAATCCTTCCACATGAAGATAGTTTCTTTCACACTCTGAGCTTTTATCTGTTTTTTTTTCTCCATTTTTTTGGTTTATTGTGGCCACCCCATGTCTTTTCACCAATATTGGCAGAGTTGAACTACAAATCAACCCTCCTCCAAGCTGACCAGTATCAGATTAATCAGCAGCACACACATATGCATATAACGACATCCTTGGAATATTCTGAATCAGCTACTGACTACTCAAACTTAGATTCACGGTCTGGATTCCCAAAATTCTAAACTACACAAATATTAAGTGGGACTTCCTCCATGTTTCCCAAGACCAGGTGTATGTGACCACCATTAATAGAACATCCAGTCCAGCTGTTCTGCACAGGGACAAAGTTCCCCACAAAAACTTTTACTACTCAGATTATAACACATGTAAAAAGTTGTTAACACCTGAGGTCTCACAAAGAATTCTGAGGCTATCACAAACCTCACTCCTAGACATAGTATGTTCTGAAGCAGATTCCACAGGGTGCTATGTTCGAAGTAATCAAACAAATCCCCTTGGTGCATTCTCTTTAACAATACAGATTAAGCTATTTAACATTTTCATCACGAGGAACAAAAAGATTAAACACAATACAGGTTTCTCCATTAACAGTTAACAAAAGTATGATTGTTGTGTGTTAACTATGTTTAACTATTATGTACTAGCTGCAGTTCAAAGTAGTTTGACCCCAACATTTGAAGTGATTTCTGTATAGTCAAAAAACTAATTAAGGGCAAAGCCCATCTGGAATCCAGGTCTCCTGATCTCATAAAACACAGCTCTTCGCACTGCACCATTGTGTCTCTCTCATCTTCTCCCTGTATTACACAGCAAAAGTGCTACACACCCTTAGAGCTTTCCAGTCCTTCGATCTCTGGGTATCTACTAGTAATGTCAGACTTTTATCAATGATCTGGCCTAACCCAGTATGTCATATGCAACTGTTAAAATGAACAATAAGTATCAAAATCCCTCCAGTGATTGGGTAAGAGACAGAACTAAAATCAGCACTTAGAACCCTAAACTCCTGGACCAAGGTTCTTTCTTTTGTATTTGCTATATTTAGATAAAATGCAATATAATATATAGTATGTATGTCACAAACTGTACATAAATCTCATTCCAAAGAATAAGCTCTACAATTTTTAATAAATCCTTTTTGTCTCCTTTCAAAAATATCATCATTAGTCCTGGCTGGTATGGCTCAGTGAATTGAATGCCAGCCTGCAAACTGAAAGGTGGCCAGTTCAATTCCCAGTCAGGGCACATGCCTGGAATGCAAGCCAGGTCCCCAGTTAGGGGCGTTCAAGAAGCAACCAGTCAATGTTTCTCTCCCTTTCTTTCTCCCTCCCTTGCCCTCTCTCTAAAAATAAATGATTAAAACCTTGAAAAATATATATTATCACCAGTCTGATGACAGAAACTCTAAGTAAGAACAAAGAGTTTACTCAGTGAAGAGCTATGAAGAGTTCCCTACGCAGTGTTCACGCCAAAGAACAACTATTGGTCGATCTCTACCAAGGTCTGGACTGAGTTAAGATTTATAAGGGCTTGGTTTCTAAAATCTTGAAGGGAAAAGGAAGTCTTATCAGAAAAAAAGTATACATGAAATTAAGATTATGTTATCAAAATGTCCTCTCATTAAAGTTCTAAATGCAGACATCACCCTGAAATTTACCTTTACACTTTTCCAACATGTATGGAATCACCAAAACATTTGAAAGGGTAATTTAGTTCTTCTTTAACATCAAACAAAATTTTCTGAGAATTTACCAAAAACTAAATATACTTTCTACATACAGGTATAGATGTCGAAGTGCTTTCACAAAAAACGAGCTGATCGTTACATTTAACAGTAGTATATCAAAGATTCTACTGTCAAGAGGATGAACATATTCAATTCCTTCATCCTAGCCACCAATATAGGTATTTAATCACAACTTCAAAATACAATTGGTTGAGATCAAGCAAGCAGCATACTTTAAAATTAAAATCTCTAGAATTATATTTTAAAAACATAATAAAAATAGATTACAAAAATGATAACCTCCTCTGCCAGAAACATACCTGTTTAACTTTAGCTTCAAATTCTGAATCATTTTTATCAAAGATCACTTGAGCAAGGCGCATCTGTTCAGCTGTTGCCTAGAAAGTAAAAACAATTGTTTAAGATTTGAGTATCAAGCCCTGGCTGGTGTGCTCAGTGGACTGAGCGCGGGCCTGCGAACCAGACAATCGAGGTTCGATTCCCAGTCAGGGCACATGCCTGGGTTGCAGGCCGGTTCCCCGCAGGCCAGTTCCCAGCAGGGGACACGCGAAAGGCAACCATACATTGATGTTTCTCTCCCTCTCTCCTTTCCTTCCCCTCTAAAGATAAATAAATAAAATCTTAAAAAAAAAAAAAAAGATTTGAGTGTCAAATATAAGCAATTGTTTAAGATTTGAGTATCAAATATAAGTTAATGCCAAAATCTGATGCAAACAGATAAAAGCTCTCAAGCACTCCAGCACTACAATAGAAATAATGATTAACTAAAAAAAAACAAAAGGATTCCAAATTAAGATTTCTCAAACATATAGAACCTCTACCTATAAAGTAAATTAGTATTAAATTAAATAATGTAAAGGTCCTATTTGTTTGGCCAAATGACCTAAAGTTCTTGTTTATCTTCACTGACTCATTTGAATTTTCCTTCCCCTGGGGAGACAGGAATAATCAGGACAAGAGAAAGTGGAAGAAAACAGTCAAAACAACTGTCAAGATTCAGGCTCTGAACCAGCCTTGTCCGAAAAGCAAAAAAGCCCCACCATCAACTCTAAAAAGATATCATAATCAGTTCTGAAAAGACCATAATATATAGATAAAATTTATTTTTAAAGTTACTTTTTAATCACAATAAAAATGGTTTTAACAAAAATTTTTAAAAAGAAACTTTCAAACACAAAATTAGTCATGTCTTCAGAAACTGTTCTCCAGTTTGATTCCTAGTTAGTGCACGTATTACCTAGGTTGTAGATTTGGTACCTAGTCAAGACATGACCAGATCGATGTTTCTCTCTTGCATCAATGTTTCCCTCCCTCCCTTCCACTTTCTGTAAAAAAAAACAATAAGCATGTCTGCAGGTGAGGATTAAAAAAAAATACTCAATTTTTGACATTTTGTTCTGTAGTATTTTGAACAATAATAAATTAGGTATAAAAAAAGTTACTCTTTTATGCAATGAGTTGATCGTAATACACTCCTTTGGTTTCTTAGTTTTGACAACGGTGTCATGATTATGACAACAGGGAAACTAGATGAGGGGAATACAGGAATTCTCTGTTCTGTGTGCAACTTTGTGATAAATCTAAAATTACTGCAATACAGTTTATTGTTTTTCAAAAGTTAACCTTGTTAGCTAAAATCTATTCTAACTCCCAAGATACATGTTCAAAAAGTTAAACAGTTCAAATTACGGAATGATACCCACAACAGCTAATAATGAACAACTTTTTTTCTCCGCTTTAAATATATATACATTTCAAAAAATCTCTAGTCCATGTGGGTGGTTGATTTTAAGAGACCCAACTATCTCTGGCCTGTTTTTCCCTCCAATCTAATTGCCAATTCCTTTATCCCAAACCTATGCCTGCCTGCTGTGACCTCAGTTGAACTGCTACAGTGCTACACCACTAAAATCAAAAAATGTCTGTTCAGAAACTCAGTATCCAGACATACAATCAATTTTACCTCAGTGCTATTCAGTGTATATAAGGACCTTACATATACTCTCACTACACCTACCTGCACTTTAGATAATCATTTCCCTGACCCATAACCAACCGAAGTGCTGCAGCCAAAAGGACCAAACGCATGAAATAACTGAAAAAGGAAAAATCAAAGGACAAGATGAGCTCTGGAAAAATGACCCTTCCTCATTATACATTTGGGTACTGACAAAGGCCATCTTCTATGAATGAAAGTAAACTACTGATGCCCCTGGTGCTGAAAGCCTACGTGATTAATTTTTAGCCATTTCCCTAATAACAGTATCTTCCACTCTCTGAGTCTCAAGTCAAAATAAAAAAATGTTACTCCATTCAGCCTTGCTCCATTCCAAGCACAGTAATACTCATCAGTTTCCACAACTAAATTTCCATGAATTAAAAAAATGCCACATACTCCACAAGAAAATTACAGTGACATACAACCATCTAGTATCAAAACTATTTATTTGGCATGTACATATATGAGGTCTGTCCAAAAAGGTCCAGCCATTCTTAACATAACAAAAACAATTTGTGACATCGATGTAACCTGAACCCCAGGAAAGTGGACTGGAATGTGCATGTGTGAACAGTGACAACTTCACTGTACTAGCCAGTGGGTGCAGTAGATGCCACTGAGTGAGTTTGTATACTTTGTAGTCAGCACATTCAAAATGACTGAGCAAATAAAGCAATGAAACTGCATCGAATTTTGCATTCAGCCTAACATTCCTCCATGGAAACTATTTTCAGGATTCAGAAGGCCACAGCTTTGAACAACTGGTGACTGACAGCTTCATCACAACAACGCACCCATTCAGGCATCATGTCTTGTGCAGTTTGTGGCGAGACATCAAATCACCCAGGTGATTCTGCCCCGTTAAGAGTCCAGAATTGGCACCCCGCCAATTTCTGGCTTTTCCGAAAAGTAAAATAACATTTGAAAGGGAAGAGATCTCACACTGTCCTTGAGGTTCACAAAAATACGACAGGGAAGCTAATGGCAATTGGGAGAACTGTGTGAAGTCCCAAGGTGACTACCATATTTTTGGACCATTAGACGCACCTAGGTTTTAGAATAGTAAAAAAATTTTTGAAGCCAAAAATGTGGTAAAATATTTAATAACATAATATGTCACCAATGTGAAACATTGTAAACAGAATTCAACAGCAGCATTAACAACCATTATTCCTCCCAAATGGCAGGGGGAGTGGGGGGTGGGGCAAGAGGGGGCCGTCTTATAGTCTGGAAAATACAGTGATTTGAAGTGGACTGAGATGTCATTGTCGTATGTACAATGTTTCTTGTATCTTGAATCTTTTTCAATACATTTCTCTATTTTTTCACATTAAATGGCTGGATACCTTCTGAACAGACATCATGCATTTTTCTGATATAAAAAACAATACTAAACAGATTACTTTGTGGGGAAACACACATACACACAACACACACACACGCAATTTACTGTATCTAGACCATGTTTATTGGTTACCCAACAATCCACTAGAGAGGTCCTGCATTTTGCCGACTTACAAATTTTTCATTACTATCTAAACACCATAAAGATTGAATTTAAACCCAATTTACATGTACATCCACAATATATGGATGCGTAGTATAGTATATATACATTATATACTATAAACACTATAGAGACCCAACTTACATCTAATTTGTTTTTTAAAATACATTTTGATTATTACAGTTGTCCCAATTTTTCACCCTCTACCCAGCACACCCCACTTCTTCAGGTGATCCACACATCATTGTTTATATACACGGGTCATGCATATAAGTTCTTTGGCTACTCTATTTCCTATACCATACTTTACTCCCCATGGCTATTCAGTAACTATATGTATTCCTTAATCCCCTCACCATGATTCACCTATTCCCTGACACCCCTTGTTCATCTAGAAACCAACAAAATGCTGTCCCTATGCATGATTATGTCTTTGTTCTTGATTGCTTACTTTCTTTTTTAGATTTAATTATTGATAGATGTGTTTATTTCTATTTTATTGTTCATAGTTTTGATCTTCATTGTCTTAAGTAAGTCCCTTTAACATTTTATATAATAATGGTTTGGTGATGACGAACTCCTTTAGTTTTTTCTTGTCTGGGAAGCTCTTTATCTGCCTTCAATTCTAAATGTATCCTTGCTGGGTAGAGTAATCTTGGCTGTAGGTCTCTGCTTTTCATGACTTGAATATTTCTTGCCATCTCTTCTAGATTGCAAAGTTTCTTTTGAGAAATCAGCTGACATTCTTATGGGAACTCCCCTGTCAGTAACTAACTTCCTTTCTCTGTTGCTTTTAAGATTTTCTCTTTATCATTAAATTTTGGCATGTTAATTATGATGTGTCTTAGAGTAGGCTTTTTTGCATTCATATTGTTTGGGACTCTTTGTGCTTCCTGGACTTGCATGTCTATTTCCTTCACCAAATTTGGTATGTTTCTTTCATTATTTTTTCAAATAGATTTCCAATCACTTGTTTCTTCTTTTCTTCTTCTGGCACCCCTATGATGCAAATGTTGGAACACTTCAAGTTGTCCCAGAGGCTCCTTTACACTATCCTTTTTTTTTTTGATACTTTTTTCTTCTTCTTGTTCTGATTGGTCATTTTTACTTTCTTAATTCCAAATCATTCGATTCTTGGCTTCATTCACCGTATTGTTTCCCTGTAAATTGTTCTTTATTTCAATTAGTGTAGACTTCGTTTCTGACTTGATTTTTTTATGCTATTGAGTTACTAACTTCTTTAAGCATCCTCATAAACAGTGTTTTGAACTCTACATCTAATAGATTGTTTATCTCCATTTTGCTTAGTTCTTTTTCAGGAGTTTGATCTATTCTTTCACCTGGGCCATGTTTCTTTGTCTCCTCATTCTGGCAACCTCCCTGTGTTTGTTTCTATGTATTAGGTAGAGCTGCTATGACTCCCTGTCTTGGTAGCATGGCCTAATGTAGTAGGTGTACTATAGTGTCCATTGGCACAGCCTCCCCTATCATGTAAGCTGGGTACTTGAGGTACACCCTTCATGTGGTCTGAGTACACCTCCTCTTGTAGTTAAGACTTGATTGCTGCTGGCAGATCAATGGGAGGGATTTCCCCAGGCCAGTCAGCTGCAAGGACTGGCTGTGACCACTGACCACCAACCTCTACCTTCTGTGGAGGATCAAGTGTGCAGGGGTATTGAGTATGAGGAAGTTCATGTATGGGTTCTTTAAGGGAAACTGCTTGGGACTCTACAAGTTTCTTCCATTGACTTAATCCCCGCTGTTTTTTTGTAGCCAGAAGTTATGGGAACTTATCTTCCTGGCACAGGAACCCTGGGCTTGGCCATGTATGGGGCTGGGACTCCACTTGCGACACATCCCTCCTGAGTTTT